GTGTGTGTGCGAGAGTGTGTGTGTGTGTGTGTGTTTGTGTGTGTGAGAGTGTGTGTGTGTGTATTTCGGAGTGATGTCAACATCTTCCCGCTCTCACCTCAGTCTGAACTCACTATTTAAACTGGCCAATCAGAACCCTCCCTCAGCGCAGACCACCAGTAGAAACCCTCCCTGAGTTCAACAGCCAATCGCAGCTCTTTGGTTCTTTGGATCGGAGAGCTGTGATTGGCTGTTTGACTCCGTCCCAAACTTTGTTAACAGTGATGTTATGAATCTAAAGCACAGTGCTAGTTAGCAGACACTGAGCACAGGGCTACCATAGGGTAACACACAGCACAATGCTTATACTAGATATAGTTACCACCTAACAAAGATATATAAATATATATATATAAATATATATATTTATATATTTATATGGGAGAGAGCCACAGAGCTGAGGGGGCGTGGCTTCAGGAGGGTTTGATGAGTGAGATCTAAAGCCATACACACTGTTTGTGCGCATGAATCGACTGTGTGTGTGTGTAAGAGTGTGCGTTTGTATGTGTGTGTGTGTGTGTGTGTGTGTGTGTGTGAGAGTGTGTAACATTGCAGGGATTTGCACTCTAGTGATTCACCTCAGCAAGACGTCCGTCCACACACACACACACACACACACACACACACATGCATTGCACTGCCATTTGAAATAGTGGGTCAGATTAGTTTCCATGTAGCTTCACCAACCAACCAAACTGTATTTTTCTTTAAAGGAACAGGGATGTTGTAAAGTATTTTTGTACAAATTTAATACTTTGGTAGCATGACGTTCCTGGTGTTTGTCCTGTCGGGCTCCACTGCTCTTCTCCTCCACCCCCCTTTGTATGGACGACTACTGAGCAACAATAAAGATGAAGACCTGCTGGAAGGACTCGACTCCATGTTTGTTTGTAACATAAAACACACTATATTTTTATTTTATAGTCAGAAAATAATAATTTATAGAGCAGTTACAGTTATAAAACACCAATTGTTGATATATGACAACAATGATAATACTAATAAATATGAGACATTAGGCAGCGTGATGAATTAAGTACCAGTAGTTAAATTAGTATCAAGAACTGTATCAATCAATTTTATTAACAATCAGGATTTTACATACATATATTTGTGTATATTGGTGCATAACACTGAACATAGTACGAGGAAAATATAAATAAAGACCAAAAAAACAAATACGAAAGAGACAATATGACCTTTATTTAAATATATAATGATAATTATTATTAATATATGTTGATGGTACAAACAGAACAGAAATATTTTTTTAATACAAGAAATAATGAAATTTACATGATTTAACATTTGTTTGTTTTCTGATTTTTTGTGTGTACAATATAAGTTAGTAAATATATGTTGTTAAATATATATGTACACATGTAAGTAAATATAAATGGTAAAAATATAGATAAGTAAGTAAAAATAAGTTCTTATTATACAAAATGCTGTAAAAAAATCAGAACTTTAGTATAATTAATAATAATCAGCTGTAATGTAAAAGAAAAGTTGTAAAATTCATATACATTATTATTTATCTTTAATTTACCAGTTGCTGTGGTAACTGGTATATTAAAGATAAATAAGTTTCCAGTCTAAGTTTCATTTATTGTTACTTATTGTTTAAATAGACATGTAAGTGAGTCAGAGCTTTAAATATTTTTAACCATTATGGATTAATACATAATAAAATATACCAACACTGTATATTTATTAAAGGCATTTTATTTAGAAGGAGCCACTTGAGCACCTGGAAGTTTTTTTTAATGCCACACTGGTTTATTTAATTCATCATTTAATAATTAAATAAGCATAAAATCTACTTTATCATGATATAATTTATCATGAGTTTGGTAGCTGGTAGTAGTACAGTGATCAATAAAGTCTTATTTTAACTAATAACACATCATAATTTAAAGTGGATTAGATTACGAACAGGTTTGGGAAGTAACGGATTACATGTAACTAAATTAAAACCAGATTACGGTTAGATTTAGTTAAAATGGGGATTATTTAGCAGGATTAGTAATTGGTAACTGTAATAGATTACATGTTTAAATTACATATTATCAGAGGTAGTGGAGTCAAATGTACAATATTTGCCTCAGACATGTAGTAAAGTAAAAGTATAAAGTAGTAGAATATACTCAAGTAAAGTAAAAGTACCTAAAAACTGTACTTAAGATACTTTAATGTATTTAGTTACTACTGAGGACGTTACGTTATTTAATATTGGATTGGGAGACAAACGGTAACAACTTAGAAAACAGGTTAAAATCTGTTCTGCTGTTCTGCAGACGGATATTTTTGTTTAGAGGAGACTTTAAGGTTTCTGGAAATATCTTTAAAACTGCGGTAAGTGTTAAATAATAGTTAAAAAGATTAAAAAATAGCGTAAACGTAACGTATAACGTAACGGTAACATAAGCGGCACAAACTGAGGCGACATTTAACGTAAAATAATTATGATGTAAAATATATAATATATTATTATTATTATTATTATTATTATTATAATAAATGTGATTTTGGTAACAGCATCGCTCCACTTCCATCAGACGCGTTAAGCCTTAGCATACATCAGGGATACTGGACTTAGCTCTCAGCGCGGTCGACATTCCGCGGCTCGGTGTTTTGGTCCCGCAGGAGCGTTGGTTCCCGCCGTGGCTTGAGCAACGCGCGGGAAATAAACGTTCTTCGGGAGGGAAAAGAAGACGTAACGGAGACAAAACATCCGAGAACAGACGAACAACGACGCGGAGAACCCGGATAAAATCAGACGGAAGCTACCGACCCGCAACCGGAGCTACAGGGGAGAGCAGAGCGCGAGCGGGAATCACTCGTTAAGTTTATAGGAAGATAAATAAATAAAATTACATATAATAAGACTAAGAATATAATAAAACTTA